TAACGAAAGTGATAAATTTAAAAGCAAAGTAAAATATTTAAAAATACCACCAGAAAAAATCTTGAGTGCTTTGTTGCTAATATTGTCAAAACCGCATGCTTTAGAAATGTCTAAGTTATATAAAATATTTAACACTTGATATTCATTAACAACAATAATTGATAAATTATGAGGTGAACTAGGTAATGAGGTATAGTATATTTCATTGTAGAATCCCAATGTGTGCATTAAAAATTCATATTTATTCATCAAAATTATCGAATATAGAACCGAAATAAGAATTTTAACATAAATATACTCCGCTGCCTTGAATTACCGTAGACTTATAGCCATCCTAAAATATCACCCCAATGACTGTTTCCTTCCTTTCTTCATTTCTTATTGTTTAATAGTCTATAAGTTTGTGAAATGTGAGCCCACAATAATCTATATAGAAAACAGAGTATATTCATTTGATGTTCATGTTACTTTATATGGTTTCACGACAATTTCAAAAAACAATAAATCATAAATTGTAAAATGTGCATTTTTATAATGCACACATTGGGGATTCTACAATGAAAGATATTACAATTGACAAGGTAAGAAGGCGTTTCTATTGTTTTACTAGATTAACTCGACTCCTCTGCTCCCTGTGCAACGTAGGTATTGCGTTTGCTACCGATTCGGTCTATGTACTCAAGTTTGTCAATTGCTGCTATTTTGCTGGAAAATTATGTAATCCAGAAATTTTGCAATCAAAAGTAGTGCAACATGGTATTTGGTCACTCAATAGTCACCAGGGTCATTGATAAAAACAGAGTCTTTTTCTGCCTTGTGCAGACTTTACAATAATTAGGCAATTCTAGGATCTAAAAAACCCTTAGAACATGTCAAAGTACGACCATTGTATACAATGCAGTGCTCTAATAATACAATGCAGTGCTTTAACACTCGTAATCATTGACTCTCATAGTCTCCTACTGTACAGTTGTTCTATAACAGCAATTAGGCTTTGAGAAGCCATGTATTATAGACTGATTTGTAGCCTAGCCTCCATATAATTGTAGCCCAGCCTCCATTTAAACCAATAATAAAATTAACTAGTAACTCAATTTTGTTGCTGCAGGTAGTGCATGGGTGCATGGTTATATCCTCTTACTTATAATTGGATTGGCTATCAAACAAAAAATATACGTGAGGTAATGAGCAAGATTTGCAAGTTTTGCAACTCTTATCTATTAGATTTTCCAGACCTGTATATAAAATAAGCAGTGAACAATGATTATATTGTACATACCCTACAATATTTGATGATGTTAATTTGAACACGTATCAAATTTATATCTGTTAAACCACGATAAGGCGTTCCGTTACGGACAATATTATAAAATTTGTAGATATTAGGCCTAATATCAAAGCCAATATTAAAATGCCAAAACTCGCAATCTAAATATGAAACGTTCCAAATAATATGAAGCCGTCAAACGTTATACCAAACTCATGGACAATTTATATCAGAACATCTGTATTAAATATATAAACGCACGCATTAAATATTAAAACCGTAATCAAAATATCAAATTTTCACGCAGTACAAAAAAAGATCAAATTTTACGCACACAAAAACGATCACATTTTACGCACACAAAAAATATCAAATTTTTACGCACACAAAAATATCAAATTTTTACGCAAACAAAAAATATCAAACTTGTAGATAAAAAGTGGACGAAGCATTTTATAAACACATTACTACCGCAACCAATTATAATATCCTAAATTAAAGTATATTAGCCTTAGATCTGTAAAATTAATATGTTTTCACCCGCTCGAATGGCTTCACCGTTCAATTAGTATGTTAGGTATGTATGATCAACCTCGTACCCAGAATCTTTCTTTGGGAAAGACACTGGCTGCGGCTGGTCACGTGCCTCTTCAAAAATTTAGCGCCCGAGGGTGTGTGGGGAAAGTATCAAATTACATCAATATACTTGCAGTGGGATATTCGTTAAAAACATAAATTTTGCGAATTATTAAGTTCAAAACACTTGCTAATTTTGTTTATTTTCTTTGCTTTCAATTTGCAAGAACATTCTTACATTTTTACTAACAGTCAAGTGAAGAAACCAAGCAAATCGTTACTCGCAGTGCTCTCTCGTGTTGTTATTCAATGCATGTTCTCTTCACACTCGAACGCGGTTATAACAAACATTTATTGTAGTGTTTTTAAATACGCCATTACATTTGTCCTTTCTTGTAAACGTTGATATCCTTTGAACCGATTTACTTGTTACTACGCGTCTTGTTTATAAGATTTTTAAAAGAAACAGTATTATTTGTCTATGACTGGCCCAATATTAGCAACTGTATGTAAACTGATTTAATAATAGCCGAACAGAGAAATGTCCATAAGCACAGAGGAAATTTCAGTCATAGATTTTGGAAATTTTGGATTTAGTACATGATTTTTGTTTTTCTTGGTCTGTATTAATCATCATATTTTGTTAATATAGTATAATCTATGTCACAAATTTACACTGGTCAGTCTGTCAGATGCGCACAGACCGTCATTGGCGTCATACGAATAGACATAAATTTTCGAGTTTTCTACTGCTACAAACATTTTAAAGTTTTTAGTGTGAATCACCTGTTTATCTCTAATTCATTAATCATTTGCTACTTATATTTTTTTGATAGTGTCATATGCTGAATAATGCGTTTTAATTAATGCATGCACACAAGCAATCCTGGATATGATACAGGCGATGCAATGGATGATGTCCATTAAAAAATAACGGTATTCTAATTCACAAAGCAAAAATTTAAATCTCATTTGTATTATTAAAGAATGTATATAAAGCAAAATATTAAAGCTTATTCGTATCAAAACGAAAGCTATTTACGAAATTTATAAATGTGGTGAACACTACTAAAAGTGCTCATTGAAAACATGTAAATATAGTGATATATTGTCTTGGACTTATCTTTGGTGTATGATCAATTTTAATACCGTAGATTTTCAACAGACAATTATACTTTGACATATACCATGATTGTTGGTTTCAGCAATGCCAAGGGTCAATTTTATAGTCTTTTGACGAGTCTTAAGTTTTTTTTAATAAGGCCTATATATAGATCAACAATCTGGATACAGTTGGCGATGATATATATTTTCTTGCAGGTTTAATTTTGCCACGCTGCACAAGCGGCCGGCGTGCTTTCTTTGGCAAATTTATAAGTCGAATATTGAAATCTGATCCAACTTGCTTGAATTGTAACTCGACACCAGATTATAGAGTAGAAAGTCACGATATAAATATTAATTTAAGAGTTCTCCTCCATTGAATGGCCTCTTCAACAGTACTACAAGCCTTCATTAAACTCGCCAGATTAGCGTAACGAGTTTTATGATATACATGCAAGCAAGATTGTTAATATAATCTTGATTCCATCAAGAAAACGTCTATTCGAACTTCTTGCCAGAATCTACTTAACGTTAATGTAACATAAAGCTCCGTATGACTATGATTGCCAATGAACTAAATATTAAAGTATTCTGAAGTCAGTATTTGGCACTGTTAAAAGATGACTTATTACACAGCAAAAAATCATTTTCTTATTAAGAAAAAAATTCTTAATTTAATTAAGAAATTATTTCTTAAAACGAGAAACGGATTTTCTTAATAAGAAAAAGATTCTTAAAATAAGAAATATTTCATTGGCAAGATATTTTTTCTTGAAATAAGAAAAAAAATTCTTAACATATCTTGGATTATATTTGTTTTCATAAAACAAGAATATATTTTCTTACGATTTTTTCATCTTCATATCAATCATTTTCTTAAGAAAATATGATTTTCTTGTTTTAAGAAATACTTTCTTAAAACAAGAAATCAAATTCTTAACATAAGAATTATATTTGTTTTCTTAAAACAAGAATATGTTTTCTTACGATTTTTTCATCTTCTTATCAATCATTTTCTTAAGAAAATTTGATTTTCTTATTTTAAGAAATAGTTTCTGAAAACAAGAAATCAAAGTCTGAACATTTTTTAATTTTCTTGAAGAAAGAAATTTAGCTACAGGAACTATAGGAATGGCATTCGATTCTGGTGTTTAAAGACATATATAACATATTTTGTATATAGATTCATTTTAATTGTATAACACCTATTTCTAGAATAATCTGCATATGTATTACAGGGACCGCGGAGCCTATTTTAAAGTGTGTGTGCGGGGGGCGGGGGAGGCAGGATAGCACGGGAGCTATTGCACGCAGGCAGGCTGGATTTTATACGGTAATTTTAGTTTTATTATCCATTGAAAAAGTGGGGCGGCCATGGCAACCGCCTCCCCCTGTTCCGCGGTCCCTGTATTTTTGCATGCTCGGGAGAGCATTCGCAACGCGGAATAATTGCGGCTATGCAAAAGATAATTAAACATAAGAATTCTCCTCTATCGTATTTATCTTTGTTAATTAGTAATTTGTTAAGGTAAATCAGGGATGGATTTACTGGGGGGAGGGGAGGTGTGGGGGGTGTAACGCCCCCCAAAGAAAAGTCAAGAAAGGGGTCCCAATTTCCCCAGCTCGGGGGGCCCGGAATAGAGACCTTACGATTTCAGGACGTCAACGCGACGGCAACGGCTACCAATACAATAGATCATTGAAAAAAATTGAGTAATTACAATAAATGAATAATTTGGACATTGTCCTCGCTCTGTTTACAACGCCAAATCACAGATTTTCACGTGTTGATACTATAATGTATCTCTTTAGTACAAGTTGTACAGTATAAAAATGTACTTTTATTGCCTTCAATATCAAAACCCTATTTCCTTACACGTGGTCTCTTTCTGATACCTAAATATATATTACATCACGTGACATGACGTGACTACATTACACCCCTCCTTTTCTTTAAAATAACTCATTAATGTTAATTGCCGTTTATTGCTTATTACCTTATAAAGTCTACGTGTCCGCTTTACCAGTAATTATTTAACTAGTTTTAACATGTCTAACTTCTATAAAAGTCCGGTGGTCTTCGATTTTGTCTAAGACAATACCTTCGTTGTAGATCTGGTAGATCTTGTTGTTGCTCTTCAACTATTGTTGGTTGTTGGTTTTCTACTATGCCGTCGTCAAAATCGTCTTCTTCATCATTCTGGTCTTCCTCACTTGCGTTCTTGTAATTTGTGAGACATTTGAAACACGATACATTCCGGGTTACGGTGCGCTCTGTATTACGAGCTGTTACCATGTTGCCTTTGATTTCAATCACTTTAAATGGTTTTGGATTGAAAGGCATTGATAACTTATTGTCCTTCGGGACTTGCATTAGCACGTAATCACCAACTTTCAACTGACTTTCTTTCGCGTTGTTTCTTCTATCTGCATGGACTTTCATTTTCTCCTTTTCCTCCTTATCTCGAACAACGTGGTGTTCCACAGGGCCATCATTGTGTTGTAGGGATGAGAAACTAGGAAGCTTATTTCTAATTGAGCGATTGAACAAAAGTTCAGCTGGACTAATGTGTGTCGTAGAATGAGGTGTGGATCTGTAGTTGAGAAGAAAAAGATCTAATTCACTTTGCCATCTTTTTCCTTCCGAATGAGCAGTACGGATTGCTTTTGTTACTGTTTTCATGAATCGCTCTGCCTCACCGTTGGCTTGAGGCCAATAAGGTGTGATTCGGCGGTGATGGACTCCATGTGCAGCTAGATATTCGGTGAACTCAACCGCATTGAACGGGGGTCCGTTATCGGTTATCAATTCTTCGGGATATCCATGTCGGGCAAAGATTCTTTGGAGTTTGGAGATCACAACCGTGGTTGTCGTGCTTTGCATCACTTCAACTTCTGGATATCTGGAATAGGCGTCAATCACGACCAACAATTTCTCGCCATTTGGGAATGGACCACAGAAATCTGCATTAAGTGTGTGCCAAGGATGTGGAGGTAACTTTGTCATATTCAGGGGTGGTTGACATTTTGGTGACTGGTGTACTGCTGCTTGGCAGGGTACACATTCTTTAACCATTTGCTCCACTTGCTTGTCAATACCAGGCCACCATACTTTACTGCGTACAAGCATTTTAGTTTTAACTATCCCTTGATGTCCTTCATGAGCGATAGACAGGACACGACTACGGAGACTCTTTGGGATAACGATCTGTGAATTTCGTAGTATAACTCCACATTGCGAAACTGTCAACTGTTCGTGCTGATTACGATATGGGTTTAAACAACTATCTGTTTTGTTCCATCGATCTTCCTTTACTGCGCTAGTTACTCTCTGCAGTTCAGGATCATTTAACGTTGCGATACGAATCTCATCGAGCGTGAGAGATTTAGGAACCGAGTGACTTTGGATGAAATTGACATATTTCTCCGCTATGGTACTTGACTTGTAGTTGGTGAATAAAGGTTGTCGAGACAACACGTCAGCTGGGTTGCTGCTACCTGGTCGATACTTGATATTAAACTTGTATTGTTGCAATCGTAGTAACCAACGTTCTATCCGGAGTGGCGGTTTGGATTTTGGGCTGTAAATGACTTCCAATGGTTTGTGGTCAGTGATGAGGACAAACTGTGTTCCAACAAGGTAAAGATGAAAATGTTCACAACCCCACACGGCAGCCAGTGCTTCTTTTTCGGTCTGCGAGTAGCGAGCTTCCACAGGCGTTAGGGAACGACTAGCATACGCTATGCAGCGATCTTGCCCATTTTCTTGTGTTTGGGCTAATACTGCACCAAGTCCGACAGGACTTGCATCCACTGTCAATTTTGTAGGTCGATTTGGATCATAAAATGCCATCGTACAGTCCGAAGCAATAGCATTTTTAACTTTGGTGAAAGCTTTCTCATGCATAGTTGACCAAGACCATTTGCACGATTTGGTTGTTAATTCACGTAGAGGGGCTGTTAGAGTGCAGAAGTCCTTAATAAATCGTGAACAGTAATTGGCCAGACCTAAGAAACTGCGTAGTTGACTGACATCTGCTGGTGTTTTGAAATTTTTAATTGCCTCGACTTTCTTTGGATCTGCTGACAGTCCGTCCTTTGACAGAATGTAGCCATAGAACCAAAGTGACGGTTGATTAAACTTGCATTTCTCCAGGTTTAATGTAAGTTTCTTGACAACTAATCGCTGTAACAGTGCTTCTAAATTCTTGTCATGCTGGGTTCGGGTTTTACCCCATACAATAATATCGTCTGCGATATTTCGTACCCCGTGTAGACCTTGGAGCGCTTGCTGTATTGCATTTTGGAATACTTCTGAAGCACATGACAGACCAAATGGCAGGCGTTTATACCGAAACAACCCCTTGTGTGTGCAAAAAGTGGTAATGTTACGCGAGTTCTATTCTAGGACTATCTGATGGTATCCTGCTTTGAGGTCTAGCTTAGAAAACACGACAGCACCAGACATTTCTTCCATTAACTCATCAACTATTGGGATTGGATGTCTCTCCCTTAACAATGCCTGATTTGGTCTACGGTAATCTCCGCATAATCTGATTTCATCTGAATTGTGTGGTTTGGGAGCAGCTACTATGGGTGATACCCATGAAGTAGGTCCTTCGGCAGGTTCAATAATATCGAGACTTTGTAATTCTTCTAGTTTATCTGAAACTTGCTTTCGTAAATGGAAAGGAACTCTCCGAGGGCGCTGTGCAATAGGGGAAACTGTACGATCAACATGCAATGACTGTTCATAATTTTGCAAACATCCTATTCCGTCAGAGAGTTCTGGAAATTTATCTAAAATTTTCTGTGTATTAATGTCAATGTTTTTCATGCTATTTCTGTCCCTTATTTCTCGATTTCCGGAGTCACTTTGACTGTTCGCGTCACTTCCGTTTGAGTGGCTTCCGGTGTAGATTTCATTCCTACCTCGACTTCCGGTTGTTTTCATGCTATGAAATTTAGAGACTTCGTTAACTTTTATTTTTAAAATACATAAATCTGCGGCTGTTTCATTACCGAGAAGTGATTCCGCTTTGCCGTTGACAACATAAAACGTCGATATTGTACGCTTTCCATTCGATTCAACCGCTAAACGACACTTTCCGAGCAATGGCAAGGGCTGAACGGCATTATATGCATATATATTTGTTTGTGTTGGCTCTAATTGTACATGTTTATTTCTTTTCCTAATACAAGCGAATGCTTCACTATCAAGAATATTTGTCGTCGCTCCTGAATCGATAGTCACAGCGATAGGGGTCCCATTGATCTGTATTTGAATGTTAGTTATTTTTGATGATGAAACAGCAAAAATATACTCATCGTCGGACGAATTAGGAGGGCTTTGTTTTTGGGTTTGTTGTTGTTGTGCAACTCTAACAGACTTTCTCGAATCTTTCTTACTATCTTTCGGGGGATTTTTTCGACTTCGACAAACTCTAGGGAAATGATTGAGCTTTCCACAAGCTCTACAGGTTTTGCCCTTCGCAGGACAGACATCTTTATGCCCTTGTTTAAATTCATTTCCACAATTTCGGCATTGATTTTGTTTGTGTGGTTTTGGTACATATTTAGCATGTCTTACCTTGTCTTTAGCTTCGTCATTTCCCTCGTCTTTTACATGATTAACATTGTTCCGAGAGTTATTGTGTCCCGAGATATTCGACGCTTGTTTTTCTGCTAATTCCTTCGCTCGCGCCATGGTAATAAGCTTAGCCAATGTCAGATCTGTCTCGCGTAAAAGCTTCGTACGAAATCCATGAGACGAGCATGTCATAACAAACTGATCGCGCATTTCATTCTCGGCGCTTTCGAATTCACACGTTTCGGGTAGTGTACGTAGACGAGTTATGTAGCTATCTACCGATTCTCCAGGCGTTGGATGTGTCTGTTTAAACACATAGCGTTCATATATTACGTTCTTTTGTGGCTGAAAATATTCGTCGAGCTTCTCTAGAGCTGTTTTGAAATCTGTCCCGGTGTCTTGTAGTGTTTTGAATATTTTATGAACCGACGGGCCAGCTACATACAATAACACTGCGCGTTTCTGTGCATCATCCTTGATGGTGGCAGCTACTGTATACATATTAAAACGTTCTCGCCATTCTTTCCAGCGTTGGGCTAGCGAGGAATTATCACCCTCTGCATCAAACGGAGGTGGTGGTTTTAAATCCAAAGTTGTGGCCATCGAGATTTCTTCTGTGTTCACTTCTTCTTCGTTTGGGTTTAGCATTAAAATAAACTCGTCGCCAAATATAATGTATCTCTTTAGTACAAGTTGTACAGTATAAAAATGTACTTTTATTGCCTTCAATATCAAAACCCTATTTCCTTACACGTGGTCTCTTTCTGATACCTAAATATATATTACATCACGTGACATGACGTGACTACATTACAGATACAACGGCTGCATTCCAAGCCACAACAAGTGTAACTTCAAACTGGGTTTAGCAGAACTCTTCCCAACCATAAAACCCATGTCTTCAAATGCCTTCCATTAAATTCATACGATTGATAATATACGACGAACTATCGACTGCCATTTATTTGAAGGAGTTTGTTTTGGCCGTCGCCGTCGCGGTTGCCGTCCTAAAATCGTAAGGTCTCTAATGCTGGAATTGTGGAACATGTTAAATATTAAGGAATATTCTGAAACATTGAGGTTGTTGTTATTGTTTTTGAGGTGCCCCCCAACCCCCCTCCCCCCTACCAGATCATGCTGGATCCATCCCTGAGGTAAATTTGAGAAAAATATTGTGTTTTATTTTTATTAAAATGCTACATTTGTCCCCCTCTTGCAGGAAAGAAGACATCTTTCACCTACATTCCGTCGCCCCTGATCAGGGGCGAAACTTGATGGTGTGTGTGTGTGGGGGGGGGGGTGACACCCCCTCAAAGTACAAATCATCTGGATCGGCAGGGCAAATCATCTGGATTGGCAGGGCAATGAAATATTTTAAATGATAGAATGTAGAGTTATTAAGTAGCTTCCGGGGCTTCCAGAGGCATTGAATAGAATTTATAGACCTAAATTTTACAGATATTGGGCCAAAAATAAGGGTTTCATGCATGTTTTAACAGGAATTTGTCCGAAAAAATTTTTTGACCCTTAATTTAATTGGTTTGTGTCCGGAAAAAATTTTTCGTCCCTTTTCTGAATGTCCGGGAAAAAAATTTTCGACCTCCCCCCGCGCTCACCAAAATTTTCGGGACAAATAGTGGCCAAAAAAATAAATTT